CCACTGTCGAGAGGCTCCTTTCCTAAAGGACTGATATCTTCAACGATTTAAATTTCTTTCTTGCTTTCACCTCGCGATCTTTACTCTCTGTAATATAATGGAACAAAAAGTAGATGACCCAAGAAATTTTCAATTGCGCAATGTACAAAAACGCGGCGTGAAACAACAACCATAAATGAAAATACGACAAACATGAAAAACGCCGGAACAAACGAAACGTCGCTCAAAATAAAGCCGGCATAAGGGGACAGGACGAACATCGCATTTATTATTTAAACCGTAAAACGGGCGGACGTGGAAACGGTCCAGGTAATACGTCCATTTACGATTCCCCAAGATACGACTTCTTTTCTTCTTTTTTTTCTTCTCCTCTTCTTTTCTTCGAAAAAGTAAAAGCCCCAAGTCACCGGCAACCAGCCTCGTGGATGGTTCGCGTGAAAGAAAAGCTCGTCGAGGGACGAGAACGAAACTTCTTCCAACCACCGGTGAAATTCAATGGTGGGATTTCGTTAAAGGAGTTGGTGTGTACGGAGAAAACCAGGCAACTCGCTCGTATATCGGAAAATCTTCCCCGTAAACGTACGATTTTCCGCGGGAAACAGACGCTCGGTGGTTTGCCGCGATAACCTAGGAAAAGATATCAGTCGAGCAGAATATTTCTCGATCGGTTTCTTAATCCTGTTAAAGGGATTTTCAGTATTGATTTATTTTATAATATTTCTCCACGATGAAATCGTACGTTTCCACTTGACTGATCCATTCAAATACATTTCGTACAGAGAGATTTTATTTTTCTCGCTAGCTTTATGAATAAATCTTCTGCATTTTACTGAATTTATTTCTTCAACCGTGTTAAAATAAAAGTTAGTTTGAAATCGACATTGCTTATGGAACGACTCGATAGATACATTATCAAATACCGGAATTCCCTCCGCGTAACCAAGAAATCTATGCAAACATCATGCAGATCCTTTGATCCATGATCAACATCGAGGTGGAAACCGGCCGTCACAATGAGCTTAAGAGGATAAACATTTTTCATCGTCGTAGTCACCGGCAAAGAACACGCGTTGCTCTCGGAAACATCGTAGCGTGAAAGAGCTCGGCATTCGTTCCCGTCACTCGCTAGTTTCCATTAGAGAACAGTTCAATATCGGCGAATTGTAGAGCGGAGAAATTCATTTTCCTGTGGAAGTTTGCCAGCAACATCGGCGACCGGTGTCGTGCGGCTTAAATTCGCCTTCCTCTATCGTGTTCCCAGACTCTCTACGTTCGTCCTCTTTTCTGTAAAATCGCACCGTCGGGAATCGCTGAAAATGACGAGTTCCCAGCACGAGTTCGACGATGAATGAACGGCTACCATCGGGTCGATTGCCGAACAGGCGGGAGACTTGTTCGTTTACCTGGATAAGAAGGTAGAACTATTATATCGGTCAGAAACAGGGAAAATCGTTGAACCCGCCTCATCTATATCACCTTTATCGGCTCGTTATGGCGGTCGGATCCTGATCTCCCACTTCGTGAACGTAAATAAAAGCCAGGAGCAAGGGTATCCTGATAATTTATCGTTCCTATTGTTTGTAATTTTCCTCACTCTCTCTCTGGTTAAAGTTTCAACGACTGTGGTATACGTGTAACATGGAATTTGTTGCTTTTAACACTGACAGGAGGAAAGTAGAGACGCGATTGTGTTGTTAGCGTTGTGCAGGTGATGTCGGTGAAACCGTGACGCTAATTGTTTGAAAGGACCACGCCGTTATATGCTGACTTTACGCGAGTCCATTGCCAGGGATGTTTCTTGCTTCGGAAGAAATCCCACAGAAATGGGGGGATAAATTTTAAAATTTATCTCGCGCCATGAAGCGTCCGCGAATTTAATATATTCAATTAATTGAAAGAAGAGAATGAAGTTTATAAAAGCAATATCGTGAACAACAGTAAAGTACAGTGTGTTAAAGTTTAGCCACATATTCCTAAATCACCCTTTATAACGGAGAAAGATTTTCAACCCCAAGCGAAGGTGTTGAAACGTAAAGTCGCGAAAGACGAGGGAGCCGAGCTTTTACGCAAAAGCCCGCCGTCGTTATTTCTCTGTTCACGACAAGTTAGGCACGCTATTGGAAGAAAGGATAAGTGGTCGCGTTTAGTCGTACGTGAAATCGTTGCCTTTAAAATCGTCAAACGGATTCCGCCGAAACGGGCACGGTGGAATCGAATATTCCTGGAAGAGACGCGAATATTGCGTGTGATCCACTCGGAAAGAATTTTACTCGTCGCGATTTGAATTGCATCCATCGACTCGATCGTTCTCCAGATAATCGCGGATGCAATATTTCCTGTGCGTTTCCATGGAATAACAATACACCACGGGTGGTTGGAAAAACAAGGAGGACATGTATGATACGGTTAATAACTTCGTACAGGGACAACCGGATGGACGGGAAAAAGTAAATTCTATTTACATCTACCTTTTAGCCTTTTATCGTGGAATCGATCCACTTGGATTAATCGAATCTGATGGAAAATTGCGTTAAAGAGCGCGGGCACAGAGTGTTTTCGCAGTGAAAGCCCAATAAACAATATCACTGTAATTTATGGTTCATCGTTAGAGCATTCATTTTCCAACTGTAAATAACAGGCACGTTCGTTTTACAATTTCCTCATTAATAATTGGATATGTAAATCGGATACGCTAACCTCGTTACGAGTTACGTTATTACTCTACACTTGGCCAGATATTGTTCGTTCGACACGCGTGACCTGTTAATTAACAAGAGCGCAGCTTCGGAATAATTTTCCCCTGATAACGAAGGGAGAAATATCGTTTCGCGCGTCTCGACGAGTCAATTTCACAGGTCGTACCTTCGGAACGATTAAGTACAAAACCACGATTTCCTTGCAAACGCCTATCCAACGAGCCGTGTGAACACGAGATGTTTTACGAGGATTCAATCGGATGTTCGCTGCTTCTGTTGACACGTGCTCGATCGTAAAAACCGATTGTTTCGAACCCTTCCATGTAATGGAAACAAAACCACAAAGCTACTCTCTTGAAATGGAATACAAAAGAATGTACCAAGTCGAAAGAAGTTGAAATTATGCATAATGAAATATGGTTTTAAGTTGTTGCAGCTTTGAATCGATATCGATATCGAAATTAGAATAATTTAGGTTTGCGATCGAAATTCGGTTTGCAGACAGAGTTGATTGAGCAATCAGTTGGTCTGGTAGCAATCAGCGAACACTCGAATTGGTTAGTCAGCTGCCAACAAGTTTAATCGAAATAAGAAGCAATTTCGATCTTAGTTAGAGTTAAACACAGTTAGGTAGTTTCAGGAAAACTTAAACGGTAGATACTGTGTTATGTAATACCACGAACTTGCTCGGAACCACTGACGGAAATGAATAATTCGAATTGAAAAATAATTGGAGCGAGTTGGAGATTAGCAGTAACGTTGATTGATCGGAGTAAATCACCGTCAGTCGTTTATGGGTTTCACGAATTCCCTGTTTTTCCACCGACAGAACTCGTAAATCTGCTATGTCCAATACGAGCATCGTCCATCGAATTCCTCGAATCGATTTCGTTGCTTTGCAAAATTTATAGAATTTAAAATGTATTTACTCTGGGGAAACCAGGAATAATCATTTTTTAACATCTTCCTTTAGTTTCGCCGATAACACGTTTCTCGACCATTTAACAATTCTTAAGGAGCACTTTTATTCACGCTCGATAAAGCAACGATTTCTTCTCTCGCCTCATCGAACGAAATCCTTCGTTTCAACTCTTTCTTAGTTCGATGAAATCTTTCCTCGTTAAGATCCTTTTCGAGGGCAGTCATCGAAGCGCGACTCCTTTCGAATCGTTGAAAATTCATTTCCAATCTCGCGAGGTATATTTTTCCCCTCGTGTCTCGTTAAACCGCTCGAAAGGAGGTCTTGCAGAATTTTTCCGCAAGAAAGTGGTACGAGACTGGACGTATCTTGGACGCGACGGATCAAAAGCGTCCGCGAGTATTTCAAATCCTCTTTGCGAGCCACATCGTTTCGCCGGGAAATGCATCGCGGCAGCGACGATGGTAAGACGGTTCTTCTTATTTCGAAATTCTCTTTGATATCCGCAACGTCGAGGACAGAACGTATACGCGAACGAGAAAGATGAATTTTTTCCTTTCCTCTTTTTCTACTGTTCGTCCGGGTTGATTCGAAAGTTCGCCACGGGAACGATTCGTGTATTGTCGTCGATCGATGCTCTGAAAATCGAGCAACTCGACGCGAAGCAGGGTTAAAAAAAAAAAACAACTTTCAATTAATTTAACTTGCTGGCCTAGCGAGGCCTCTCGCGGGAGAGAAGGTCCCTTCGTTGGATTAACATTCACGGCAGTAAATGTAACGCTTTCATCGGCGCCAGAATGCCAGACTGCAGGAGGAACGCTGGCAGCAACATGATAAAGCTATTACGCGAAACGATGTCACCCTTACAGACCCTTCCAACGATATACATTTAAACTTGCCCGTATTCGTCGCGAGAGATTTCGCGCGACGAAACGGTAACCGTTTGCCTTCTTGCATTCAATGGGACCCGCTCGAGCGGCTTTCGCGCGACAATCCCTCGATAACAGCCGGATTAACAGGCTGGAAACGACTTTTCCTCGTAGCCGAAGCAACTCGAGGACGAACTCGCGACGACGATTATAAACGCGACCGAGCATTTCCAAGGGAAATATTAACTTCGCTAATAAGTTCGTTCGTCTGAACCGCGTGCATACGCGTCATGACAGTTCCTTATCTCAAACTGTTGCTTGCATCTGCTTGTATATTAATCGTACGTAGATTTCAAAATACAGAAGGTAGAGATTGAAGATACAAGAGAACAGTGGATCATCGATGTACAAGTTGAACAAGAAAAAAAATCTAATTGATGAACATCGACGCGATAAAATCACCAGTGTTCCTTGGTGTAAAAACTTACTAACGTTGATACCTTTTTTTGCTTTCAGGTGATATAATCCTGGATAAGAATTGATGATCTCTACTGGCCTGGCCAGCCCTCGAAATTGACCCGAATTGATCGAAGGCCCGATTACCGGAAACAGACGACCAAAAATGTGACGCGCGGGGGTCACTCGACGGTCGTGGCTCGAATAGAGAAGACTGGACGACTATTGGAAGCGTGACGGTGGATTGACTGTGAGTATTATCCTCGATAACATTATTTCCCGTATCGCGTTCGATTTTTGAAAACTGAAAGACTCGTGGCTGCAGATAGATATGGTTATAAATCGAGCAGATTTAATTTCAAATATTCTATAACGTGAAATGTATTGTGCGGCCCCGATAAGGACCATCGTCGAGAGCCGAAATGTCGACTTTTTAATAGAATATAGAATATATTTATATTCGCTTTGGTAGCAGAGATAATGCAGCAGCTGAATGGGATGGTTCGATTTTAAATTCCATGTTGTTCGGACAGCTTCGCGATATCCTCGATGTACTTGTCGGTCTTCAAAGCAGCTTCCGGGGCAGGAAATATGGCCTGGTGATGTCCTATTCTCGCTGCAAATAATGGCGCGAATGATTGCATAATTTATTAGCGGTCCTGCTATCGGGTGACCGTAAAAAAACATTACCAACGTTATCGTGAATTTTTATTTGAACGATAGAAGATATTACAAAGTGCATGGTCGTGCTTTACAAAAAATTCTATTTCCGTCTGATCGCTTTTGCAAGAAAAAAAGATTAAAAAAAAGAACTTCTTTTGCACGACACGATCCGATTGAAAGTAACGTGAAACTTTGGTATCGCGAAGTTTTCGCTGGCTAATTGCAAACGAATTATCCGAACGAATCGCTTGATTCGATTAAAATATTCAGGATACTTAGACTGCATTGTTTGCGTCACGCTACGATACTTCTTGAAATACTTTTCATTCTGGGCCAGAGAATGAATTCATCGATAACACAAAAGGCACCGAGTTCGTTCTCTGTTCAATTTTCTCGTTCAAAGTTTTTCCTCCCACCTCCTCTTTTTTTTTATATTCTGTAAACGAAACGATTAATCGTCGGGAATTATCTCAATTCGTTGCAGCGGAATAACTGGTTACGTTTTCCCTGCAAAAAGAATCGTTTGTTGCGTGCCGTCCGGTTTGAAAAATTCCCTCGTTGTTTGAACCGCAGCGACGGTCATTAATCGATGCCGTAATTGGAGGTTTAATTCGTCACTTTGAGCGTGTATAATGGACCGCTGCATATTCGATGATTTTAATCGTGGAACACTTGTCACCGGTAACCCCTTTATCCGACCCATTGTGCAGTCAATTGTCTATCCCTGCTTTACGTAACACTTTTCTTCTACTACCTCTCTCTTTCCCTTGTTTATCCACGTTTCCGTTGTTGCGTAATTTTCAACGGTACTTAGACTTTTTAAGGATACTCGTTCGATAACGAGAATTTTTTTCTTTAGAAACATACTGGTCTATGAAATAGCTGTCCAGCACTTTCCCCAGGATACAAGGTAGAAAATTGAAAGTTTCAAATTAACTGTGGAATGTATAATATTAATTGCCCCAGGTAGTAAGCGAGGAGATTAAATTATAAAACTCTGTCGATATTCTTCAAGATTTATAAAGTTCTTCGTGGAAATTGATTTTTTTTTTTTTTAATTTTGTTTCATTTTTATACAAAAGACCAGATCTGGTATTGGAACAGTTCGATCGAGTTTCTCTCTTAACGTTCGTCGGTCGGTGCTCGAAAATTTCGGTTACCACCGAAACCGTGACCTGGTTCAATCGGCGATGAAGTCGATGTAACGTCGAACGTACGAATTCTCTCTCTCATGTTCGAGTCAATTAAGCTCTATCGATTGCCTCGACGACAAAGACGAACCCAAACTCTGGCCGAACGGTTGCCTGTACCCGGCTCGAAGCAAGGTTTAGTGTTACTTTATTAACGGGCTCGACTTATGTTTATCGATCCCCTTCGATGGCTCCGTCGATTGTCCACCATAAAGATCGTCGTCCGTAAAACGTTTATAAGCTTCGATACGAGTTCGATACGTACTATTCCCGAGTAATAAACGTCGGGACAACGACAGCGGAAACAATGGCGATTTGCGAAATGGTTCGCCGCGACCGTGACTAATGGGAACCGTATGAATTAGTCCTGAGAATAGGGAATTCGGGTCAGGAACTGATGTACCCAGGACTTACTGGTTAAATTACGGCGTACCGAGGACAAATAGATGGGAAAAGTGTTGTTCCATACGATTGCCTATCATTGTTGAGGAACTTTGAATTTTTATCCCTGCTTGTTGCATATCAAGTGTATGATTTTCAAAGATGGAAAGTCTGCCACGATTTCATCACATAAAAGTATCGCACAATTGGAATTGTAGTATATCAATGGGTAGCTTAAAGCTTAACGAACATAACTACATAAAGGTTTCATCAATATTCTCGATATAAAATGGCTGGCACTTTGTTCGAACAAATAATGCAGCTTAGCACTGTCCATTAACGAATATCCAATTTTCAATCATTTGTATTTTTATGTATAATAAAAAAATTACAACATTTTGGAAATTAAATGTTTGCCAATGGGCGATATTGTTTTTAGTCATTGTTTGCTTAGTCATTTTGGAAATATTAAGCTTCGTTTCATTTCTCTTCAATTTTATGATTTAATGCAACCAGGATATTTCGAAAACTTTGCATTCTGATAGGATAATAAAAAAAGTAGCTAACTTAAGACTCGTACGGTTTAATGGAAACGTTACAAGATAATTTCTTTCTATTCACACCTACGAAGGAATCGTTTCGATCTTTATGGTCTTTTGCAGCAAGCTTCCACGCTAAAAGCAATAAGGAAACCATCATCGAGTCAATGCATTTACCTTTTTCTCTTCTCTCTTCTTCTATCTCTTTTCCAATACCTTTGTCTGTTCGAGAGGGCGAGAAAGTCTCGCGGTCTTTCTATATCCTATATAGATGCCTGTGGAGGACGTACCCGACCCGCACCCTAAAGCCTTGTCCCATTTTTGTCCCGGCTTGCATTCTAATTCTCGCCCCGATACGTACTTTCACTTTTGATTCGTCGACTTTTCATTTTCTCCTGAGCCTCGCTTATCCGATTTAATATTCCTTTCGTTCGAGCCGGGATAAATTGAATTTTTAAAGAAAATATGTATTTAGGATCGAGGATGATGATGCTGGAACGATTCGTTGGAACGAATAACCCTTCGGTTCATTCGTTCCAGATTTCTTTTCTCCCGATACACCCCCTTTAAGCGATATTATTTTTTCATAAGATCGACTGTGTCGTATCAATCCGCTTATTAAATTGACTCGTCGCCGAAGAAATTCGTTTTCATTCTCGAAGGACGTATCATTCTTCCCTTGCCACGCTTCCACCCGGGGTCATAACCAACATTCGCCCTCGTTTTTATCCTGATCTTTTTTCTCTCGGGGCAAAAAATCCCCATGGTGGAAACAACGCGAAGAAACATCTACCCCCGTGGAAACGCCGTTTCATAAGACAGCGCGTTGTAATTTACAAAGCTCCATTATCTGTGGATCTTTTTCCCAGCCCGCGGTGGGTATTTTGCGGTAGATACTTTGTTACATCCTGTCTAATAATTAAATGAAGATAATTCTTTGGTGTTTTCGTGTAATCTCGAAATTGGGAACGAAAAATAATTAAAAATATTCAGGAAACGGTGGACAGGCAAAGTTTTCCAATTTTACGATACCAAGATGTGAAATGTATGTAGGAACGAATGGAGAGAATATGTGAAATACTTTTCGCAAATACGTAGGTAATAATACGATAATACAGAATGTTCCGGAGTTAAATGATCAAAGTTCGCCGTTATATTCGACGAGTGGGAATAAGGAAAAGATGTGATATAGGTATAGGCGCGGAAACTCTTTATTAAAAAGTTCTAACAAAAATATTTGAACACGAAAGCGAGTTTGCTGATACATTACGATTTAATAGTAGGTCAGCAACGTTCATTCAATCTCTTCGTTCCAATTATATTGCATTATCTGCACGGTAATTAGCGTTAATTAAATTGCATTACATCACCGAATAATTAATTTAAGTTAAACTCAATTCTTTAATGAAATTTTGGTATAGAAAATTAAACGGATTTTCTTTCGAACAAATATGTTACATTTCGAGGAAGAGCCTCTTTTTTTCAACCATTTTTCACTTGTCAGTTTACCAAGTATTACCTCCTTTGTTCTTTTTTCTTTTTTTTTTTCAACATTTTGTAGGACCGCAAGCAAAAACTGAACAACGAATAAAACAAAGAACTTCAATTTATCAAAATAGAAAGAATAAAAAGAGACACGGGTTCGCTGTCGAAACGGGTGTTATATCAAAGTGCTTTCTCATCATAAATGCAGTCTGGTAACTCGGTCGCGATCGCGGTTAGCCACGTTTTTCCCTCGAAAATGCACGCGGCTCGAAGCCACTTTTCCTCGACATGTCGTAAAAAATTGTCGCTTCCGTAGGTTGGCTCGACATTTCGCTGTCGCCGGGAAACACAATTCGCGTGCACCTCTAGAAAGTGTTTTTACGGCCGAGGTAATGCGAAGAATAATATGTAAGAACCGGTGACTTTTCCGGTTTTGCGTAATTTCAAAAGGAGAGCAGACTCGAACTCTTCAAGGGACGTAAGAAAAGAAAAGGGAAGAAAAGAAAAAGATTACGGTAATATTCACCCCGCATCCTTCGAACGTGAATGTTTCATAAAAGTCGTTCCACAGAAAAATTCATAAAACGTGCCTCTTTCTGACCGTGAACACTGTACAAACACGTCCCTGTCTTGTACGACTCTTTTCATTGCTTTTGTTTTCGAACAAGAAAATCGTGACCGTACGAGAGCCGAATATTTATCGTGGCGATAAATTTTCGTATTCTTTTCATTTCCGCTCTTTTGGTTCTCTGCAACCCCTTCGCTACGATATTCTTCAAGCTATGTAGGATAAATCAGTCAATTGGAACGGTTTATAACTCAAGTTTGGCTTGAGATAGAGGAAAGTTTCAAAAGAAGAAAATCTGTAATCTCAGATTTTTCGTAAGTGCAACGATGCGTTTAAAAAATGCAGCTGCACTCTTTTTTTTAAATGCCATCAATGGCTGACTTTTCAACGGGTCCTTATCGTTTCTATCGGAATTTATTACTTG